GAGATTGAGGCGGCCGAGAAAAGCTGGAGCGAATGGCTGGCTATGGAAGATTGGATGGTGGGACCGCGAGCCCCGGATAACATGCCTGGTGATGAGGACTCGTCCAGGGCGAGAGGGCAACGGTAGTCTGAAAGAGAGCTGCGAACACACCACCGGGGTCCAGGCCCGCCAAGAAACGGGCACCAATAGCGCTGCGTCCAGCACTTGCTTGGTGGAAGATGGTGGGAACCTGATGGCATGAGAAGATGACGACAGAGAGAATGAGGATAGCATGTGGGATGGAGTATGGATGTTCCGAGTCAAAGAGAATCATTGCTGCTGTCACCTAGAGGTAGCCTTTTGTTAAGAGCAATCTATTATGCCAATCGTCGTGAGCCTATAGTTTTCTCCCCTCTCTTATCGTTCAACCAGATCCTGTGATTTGCTGAACTTACACTGTTGTGCTCTATGTGGTACACCACCACCACCACCAACGTCATCGTCGTCGTCGTTATTCCGCAGAGGAAGCCCGTCTCGGCAGTCCTCCACTGTGGGTAGCACTTGAGAAGGTATGAGATCCCGTCTACGATCGATGTCCAACTGCGTAACGCTCAGCGAAAGCCACTGCAGCCATTGTGACATCCAGCTCCACCGTGTCTCCCGAAAACTGCCATGTCCGAAAACTCATGTAGCGATGCTGCTGCTGTCGCCGAGAGACATCCCGCGTCTCTTGCCTACAATTTCCATCTGCAGACTACACATGAGACTCGTAAAGGCACTGCTCCTCCGTCGTCGTCGAGACGGGAAGCACGCGGCAGATGCAAAGGCGGAGAAAAGACACCGTTTTTCCAAGAGCAAGGAGGGAGGGAGGGAGGGAGTGAAGAACTTCTTCCGTCTCGAGAGGCCATTGACCGCTATGTAGCCTCCACGATGCTGGATACTCGTCAGGGGCCGTAGAGCCGGTTCGCGGGCGTCGGTATGGAAATGCCACAGGTGAGCGCAACCCCCTTCTACGGCCCACACTCGATCGACCGTTCCTCTAGCCAGTCACCCCGTCAATACTCCCCCTTTCCACGGATCCACCACTGTTTCTACCACTCGTCCAGCTACCGTTCCTTTCCATGCCCTTCGACCGGAAACCAGGGATGGACATTGTGAGACAGGTCCTCGTCCCGGGATCGATCCACCTCGAAAACCGCTGGGCCTCGAGGCGTCCGTGGCCAGAGAATCACCCATAGACGTCTCACCCCAACGCTCCAAACGACACAAATCCTGCACCCCAACCCGCCACCCCGACACACAACCCCCCACCCACGCTTCCACACCGTCGGCGGCGGCGGCCTCCTCGAAATCGCCAGCCCGGCATCCCCAACCCCTCGCCACCTCAACCCAACACCCACCCCCCCCCTCCCCTCCCAAACCCACCACCCGTTCCCCGCCAGCCACTCCGACCGCTCGAATCCCCCACCACCGTCCTCACCGTCGACCCCGAGTGCTTCCCGGATACCGTGGCTCGGCACGAAGCGTCCCGCCGCCGTCGCGCGCGAGACCCAAGTCCCCAACTCCGGACCGAGCGAGGGAGGCGTTCCTCTCCGCCGCTTCGATCCATCCGGCGCGTTCGTTTGATGAATGATGCGTTGAGGGATCGGTTGGGGTGGTAAGGCTGGGGCTGGGGAGTGGGAGTGGGAGGTTTGGGAGTGGGAAGATGCTTTCGTGGGAGATTGGATGGTGTTCAGGAGGGGGGGGTGGGGAGAGTAGTCAGAGTTAACGCACGCATCGGGGATCCGGAAGACGTTTTTCCTATCGTTGGCTAGAGCCGATGGGGGCGGGCGGGAGGGGGTGGGGAGGGTGCTTGAGGAAGAGAACGTGCTGGCGGTCTGGATGCCGATGGTGGAGGGGTCTGCTGCTTGGATCTTTGGGTCCCTCGTCCCTTGTTTTTCCGGTCGTTTGTGCTAGGCATGCGATGAGGGACGGATGGGTGGTTCATGGAGCCACGGCGCCGGTAAGTATCTCACGCTTCATTTTCTCCCCATAACCATTATCTGACAAGCGTTTTAGAAGGTCAGCAGCGACGGCATTCGCCGAACGCTACATATCCCGCGAGTACCATTTCGAGTCCAAAGAAACGGTCTATGAGGTCAAGACTGTCTTCGTCTGGTTCAGTCAGCAATCCGTTTATCCATGATGGGCTTTTTTCCGTTGCCTCTTTGTCTGCTTCAGGAGAGGAGCAGACCGATTCCTAGATCTAACTCCAATCTCGGGAAGCCTGCGGGGGTGGTACATCTGGTTGAGAGTGCCAGAAGAGGAGACATCTGAGGCCGACTGACACTATAACAGTCTATGCTGAGTTTCATGATTGTGGTGTAAAGATGTTGACTCTTCTAAATACCTGCGGGCAGTATTTATCTACTGAGAAGCCGATGTGCCAAGGCGCTATGTCTAATCGGAACTCATGACTTTGTGTCGAGAATTGATCCTGTGACTGTCATGTTTTCTGTTCTACAAATCACAGTTGCCAAGACGACATCATGTCAATTGTTCGTAAAAAATAATCATTGACAGTGGGTAGCTATTCCCTGACATACAGCTCAAGGCCTTTGCCGATTGGTATGTACGCCTATGAAATTATTCGATCTATACAACTTACTACTGCCTTATATCCACGTTGTGGAAAAGACACGCCCTAGAAATGGGTTTGGGCTTGGACACGTTCTGTGGCACATTCTTCTGTGCTTCTTATCCATTCGTTTGCAAAACAGCTATTGGTATCACGACTTCGGAAGCCCATGTCATGGCACTTACTGCATCTCGTTGCTCCGAGTGTCTGATTCTCAAGTGAACCTGGGTGCACGACCGGATTGCGAAGCTCCAGCGCCTATGGATCGCTCCATATCGTGGGTCACGGTGTCCTTCATTTTGGACATGTCAGCCATGTGGTCTCTCGGATGCAACACGATTTGACAAAATCGAGGCCTCAACGTACCCCACCCATCCCGCACGACTTTTGTCTCACCCGTGGCGCCTGTCCCCAGGGTAGGCTCAAGCGACGCTCTGGTCTCGTTCAATAAAGGTTCCAAGCTCTGTGCACAATTCTGCGCATTGCTTTTTCTAGCCATATCTTCTGGAGATAAGCGGTATCAGCGTAACGTTTCTCGAATCCGGTCCGCTCGTTGAGTGCTTCGAAGGAGGGTGAAGAGGTTATTTGAGTCGTGTAGCTCGACCATCCCCACATCTCAAATTCGATGAGCGCGGAGCTGCGTTGTACACTGTTCCCCTTCAAGAGTGCAGCAGAACCATGTAATGCTAGGCAGTATAATGTGGTAGCGTCAAAGTTTCATGCCCGTATGGTCTCCATGGTTATGATGGTGTTTGGGTCAACACCGTATGAGAGCTCAACGTTCAATGCGGTTTGTGATATTGGTGTCTGGGAAGCGGCTGATGCAATGATGCCAATGATAGGGTGGAGCGGATTCAAAAGTCCCCTAGGAGTAGAGAAACGTCATGGCCTCCTCGTGGATGAATTTTGACCATCTAAGGATTGCAAGGTTAGATCCGTGGGAATTTGGCGACTGAAATTCCAAGTCTTGTCATATGCCGATGAGTCCGAGCGCCTTACGGGGCAAGAGTGGATAGTGGGTCTCAGGGCGTACGAGGTTGTCCCATTGGGTGGTGTATCCCATGGGGATGAGGTATGCGTATATCTCATCCTTTAGCCTGCGCGGGAGGACCGACATGTTCCATAGCGGTTTCGGTGTCTCCGTATCCATGAGATTGTGCCGGTCGTTGAGTGAGGTTTGGTCTATGAGACGAGGCAAGATGAATGGATGAATGGAGCGGTCCTCGCTAAGATTGACAGCGTGGCAGTGAGTGTCATTTCAACTCGTGGGAGAGGATTGTGTCATCAAAAGAAATCTCCGTAGGTGATCTAAACGGCTCAGAAATTGGGACAAAGTGGGCAGGCAGAGCTTTACCTTAGGAACAGTGCTCATTTTATCAACACCTTGACCATTTCTCGTCGATGATATTAGGGCGCCTATAACAACGTTTTGAAGCCAACCCTCCCAGGACTTCACGCTCGGCTGTTCGTTTATCTCCTGCAAACAACCCGTCATCTCAATCCACATGAGCAATCTCAGAATCAGGTTGGGCCCGTAGCGTAGCTACTCGTAGGCCCCCACAACGACACCACGATCGATCTCCCCCAAAAAGCGATCTGGTGTCCTTCTACTCTTAGAACAATCCAAAACATACATATTCCCTCCGTTCCCCCTCTCTAATCCGCATTCGATACCGAACAAGTAACTGATCTTGAATCCCTCATCTCTCTCTCCCCCTCTCCCCCTTCCCCAATCCACAACCCAAAAGACCGACCAAATCATCCTCACACCTCTACAACATACCCTCCAACACAGCCCCATCCATCGCCCTCACCCTCACCCTCATCTCATCACCCCACCTTACCTCCGCAACGCCCCCTTCCCCGATAATCACCATCATAACCACCATCATCGCCGCCAGAGCCAGACACCCTCTACGCCAAAAGACCCAACTCGTCCATCTATTCTCTCCCCCATATAAACAAAACCTGCTAGCATCGACGCCGTGGCCAAACGTTCGTTCGTCTAGTGGCTCTGGTTAGATGACCTGCACTGCACCATACTACACTATACTATAAAGGTGCGATCGATGAGAGAAGGCGCTTAAAGTGTGTGTAAGTATGTATGTAAGCAAGTAAGGAAGGAAGGAAGGACATGCATGCTGCGGGCGGGAGACGAGCGTTGATTAGTAATGCGAGGAGGCTGGGAAGATGGCTGGCTGGCTGGCTGGTTGGTTGATTAAGATAACGAAGATGGATTTTCCGATACTTTTGCAGGGAGGGATGGGTTGGAGATTGTCACGGGGATCGGGTTCGAGATCGTGTCCGTAAGTAAAATCTTTGTCTGAAAAGTGGGAGGATGTCAGAGAAGTATTGGATGTACAATGCCTATCCCTCGCTTACCTATCCAGACTTTGGACATCCCTTACTCGGCCTCAGCTACTACATTTTTCTCCGACTCATCACTCCCTACATCCTGTCCCGCATCCGCCTCTTCTTCTCTCAGATCGCCCCTATCCAACCTCCTCCCGCGAATCAATTGCCCAACCATGCTCTGGCTGAAATCTTGGCCTTTCCTCCTGATGGCCAACCATTCTTGCATGAAGAGAAGGGCATTCTTAGAGAACGGCTCTTGCTTGGTTTCTTGTGGTGCGTCTCCAAAGGGCAATTCGTACCAGAGATCCGCTTCGGTGAGCTCAACGGACGCGGCCTCGGTCGCGGACGCAGGAGGCGGCAGGCCCAAAGCTTGACACACCGCGTGGGATTGATCGTCGAAGTCGAAGTATAGACGGCCGGCGAAAATGCCGAGGTCTCGGACTAGCCATGTGGGAGCACGCCAGTTCGCCGGGAGGCGAGGGACGGTGTAGAGGCTCAATGTGTCGAAGACGAGCATCGCTCTAGTGACGGGTGCCGCGTAGGTGATGAGATAGGTAGAAGCTGGTTTTCGATCTCGAATGATGGGAAGAACCGCGTCGGCTTCGAAGTCGGAGATGATGAGTGCTGTATCTGTGGTTGTGCTCCATAGTATCCAGTGAACAGGACGGGAGTATTCATCCAAAGGCTTTCCCCACTGGATCACGACGACGTTGCTGAAGTCTTGGGTAACGAGCAGTCGCGAACTTGTAGCACTGTCTGAGATGCCTAGGCGTCGGCCCAAGGCGGTCTGTCGAAGAGCTACAAAGGCTTGTTGGTATGCTTGAGAGCCGGCAACAAGCCTTCCAGTCTCTGCGAAAGACTTGACATCTTTCCGAAGTGGCTGCTGTTTGAACGCTGTCGCATGGAGGGGTTTCTTGACCTCTCTCACGGTCTCGACCTCAATCTGGACTTCCCTCTCTTGCTCGACCTCTGTGGAAGAATTGGAGTCAGTTTTTGTTGTTTACAGCGGGCATTGTGTGACAGACAACTACAATTATCTGTATCTATAGTGGGCACGCAGAATTGGAATATACATACCCTGATGCGTCAACGCCTGAACGGTGTCCCCGGTGTTTCTATGCCCCTTCTTCATCGCGTTGAGCTTTTCGACGTAGCCAGCTATCTCTTGGAACCCTTTAGCGTCAACTGGCCGGGATTTCGTCTTTTGATCTGGGGCGTACAAGTTCTCGAGTGAGTATTGTTCTGGCTGCTGTAGCACCTTGAGATACGCTTTACGCTGGTCGTGATCAGATGATGCATCTGGATTCCTTTGCGCGGCGAGTCGGCGGCGGCAGTATTCCAGTCCCTGGGAGATGTAAAGCGGCTGAAGTTGTTCGATGCTGCAGCATGTCTGTTCCAAGAGCCAGATGATAACGTCGCGGGAATCGATGAAATCCTTAGCCGCTTTGCCTCTGAAATTTAGGATACTTTGGTGCACTTCGGGAGGCGCGAAGAATACAACGGATTGGGAGATTGCCAATTGCCGTAGTCGCATGGCAGCTATGTGTTAATCTAGTCAGCAAGTGCGACATACGAAGAGATCAGAAGGAGAAATGGTGGCACCCTACCTTGAACTGTGTGATCTTTCGTCTGTTGAATCCCTAGAGTCAATGCTGCAACTGCGTCTGCCGGCATTTTGAGATCCACTCCTCTCGTATGAGCCTCGTCAAGATAGACAACGCATGCTCCAAGATTGTTGAGGAAGGGTGACCCGGCTAAGGGTTGGCTCTTCCCGTCTCTGTACAGGACTCTCGCTCGATCGTCTTCACCGAAGAATACGGCTGCCTCGGCTTCATGATCTTCCTCCAACCAGGCCTGCGCCAGCGACTTGTTGTCCATTTCCAGAATTTGCGCACCTGCATCAAGCAACATTCTGATGCCGTGTTTGTGAAGCTGATGCAAAAACTCTCTCTCGCTTAATCTCCTCCCATCAACTCTGCAGGCAGGAAAATATTTCCGATTTCTGGGCTGCAGCAAATAGGTCAATACATCGGCATTGGTATGCGCGAGTCCTGGTAGATCGTCCTGACGAATATTGAGGGGCAGGAGTGTCTTGTTGTCGTTTGTTCCACTAAACCCTACAGTCAAGGACGTTGACCGGCCGACGGATAGCCTGAGAGCATCCGGTCCAGGCCGAATGTTCTCTTTTGAGATTGTCAGAGATTCATCTTCAGCGGAAGAAGTTTGTGTAGCAATGTCCCAACCCGAGCTAACGAGCTTTCGTTCGAAAACGCGGGAATGACGAGGAAAAACGTGGTGGTTGAGGAAATAGTTGATGACCGCCATTTGCTGGCGGAGAAGGCCCCAAAGTTGCGTACACTGGGTTTCATCGTCCACACTAGATTTAAAATTTAATGATAAGCATTCGGCCTCAAGGTGGTCCGAGTATGATAAAGCCATCTTGAATAAGAAAACCAATGTTTTATCGAAGAATCTTGAATGAATAAAACGATCTCTTTAACTGATTCAAATACATGTGGAGAGAACGGTCTCTGGACTCTGTGTTGCAATCCCGCGCATGGTACAGCCTAGGAAACAAATGGAGAGAAGACTCACTTGATCGAGCTCCATGAGCGCAGAGAGTCAGGGAAAGATGGGATATCCTGGGACCAAGAATCAAATTCTCGCACAGGCTCGTCGTCGGACTTTGTAAGCTGGGCCAGAGCCTGCCGGAACTGAGGCAAAGTAAGGCCCGAGGAGTAGAAGCTGAGGCAGGTTAGTACGATACTGACATCCGGGTGTCCAAATTCGGCCTGATCAGATGCTATCCCCTTGGCTTTATAAGGCACGGCGATTGGGTCGCGGCGAGCGTCTATTCCATATTGGACGTTCCAGCGCTTATCCAAGCCCGAGAGCAGTATCTTATGGATGAGTAGCCCGCGGAGGAGAAGTAGCCGTTGACGAGCATCTGTGTTTCCCTCCAAGACTCCGGCTATCTTCAATGCCATCGCCTTTGGGAATTGAGCTTCTCGAAGTAAGCTGTTCACGGACGCTAGCTCATCCAGCGAGCAGCCGTCTATAGGAAGGATACCTCCATCCCCTCTAACAACGCTGTCGGTCAGACGGCGCATCAAAGCATCTTTGACTTGATGTGTTAGCAGATAGATCGTAGGGAAAGTCCCGCGGGATCGTTCTATGACCTCTATACTCCTTGGGAATTGGCGCCGCAACGGTCCTAGATGCACCTTGACTAGCTTTAGGAGATCTTGTACTAGCTTCCAACGACCCGGATGTCCGTCAACCATGGTCTGCGCTCCGGAAGGGTAGATCAACTGGGTTTTGACAGCCAGCATGTGGTCGCACTCGTCCAGGACGTCCCGGCATTTCCTCACGAGCCATTCTTGAAGCCTCATCATGTAAGTAGCTTGCTGAATATGACCGTTCGAGAGCTCTTGAAGCCCGCTGAGTTGAAAAGAAAGCATATGCTCCGGGAGAGTCAATATTGTTCCACCATCGCGTTGCATTTCGAGATGGAGGTTGTGATACGCTTCCAAATCATTGATAGCTGTCGAAGATCTCCGAGAGAATGGAACGTGCCTGATCTTTCGGCCGACCAAGCCTCCAAGGCGGGCCTGAAGCAATTGTGCCGTCTGCGTCAATAACGGTCTTGGCACCACCACTCTGACTAGATTTTTGGTATCTGCCAATTGGGCCACTACCATCGGAATAATTATGCTAGATTTTCCTTGACCCATGTTCATTTGTAAGCAGAACGAGCCGTTGCTGCTCGGCGAGGTCATCGCTAGAGCTACTTCATGCTGATCAGGCCGGATGCGAACATTGAAGTCAAGTTCGAGCAGCAGCCAATCTGGATGATCTCTAGTTTGCCAGTTCCTATGGCTGGCAACTTGAGTCTCGATCGAAAGCTGAATAGTATCCTTCCGTAGTGACGCCCCTTGGATACGAAGTGCATGCTGTAAGTTAGTGATTAACTCTCCGTAGTTGATGATGACACTGCGGGCGACACTCATGTTTTTCGGAACGGCGAAGGGACGTAACATCTCAAGTAACGAAATCGACGTGATGGAGGGAAGCAGTGCACCTGCCTCGAGCCAGCCTTGATCTTGGGTCAAAGCTATCCGAATGGAATCAAGTCGGCTGCTAACCGCAAGGGTGGACGACGAGATAGATACGGCAATTTGTGCCCCACCCATGGCGACCGCAGCTTGCATGGTTCCTCTAGATGTTTCACGTTTTGACTTGCTAAGAGCACGCAAGCTAGTCTGTAAGTCTCTGCCGTACGCTCGTCTCACTGGATCTTCGCTATGAGCGAAAGGATCGATTATGCTTTGTTGTAATTCATTCATCAAGGCAGATCCATCATTTCGCGTCTTCACAGGATCATTGCGTGTCGTGCGCGAGTTGGTGATTGGTGGCTTTGAAGATTCTGATACAGAAGCGCTGCCGTCCGTAATGGTGTGTCCATTCAGACTTGGCTGTGCTGCGTTCGAGCGGTCACCGAGTATTGCTCTGTCTGCTATTGGCGAAGATTCCAGGAGCTTGCGGAGAAGTAGCTGCAGTGTTGGACGGGTACTGGAGATGAATGGCGTTGAAAAGAATTGTTGCTCGCCCTCGCTTACTGACAATGCCGGAAAAGACTCGGCTGCATGGCAAGCGTTTAATATATTCTGGACACGGTCCAAATGCTCCGAAAGCTCATAATTAGCAAAAAGCCGTTCCCATTCTGGCTTGATTGCTTGGTATGCCATCTCAGCATCGAGCAGTGGTACGTCTTCCAAGCGCAAGCTGCTGATAGAAGGCTCACGGACAGGCCATTGAGACACCAAATGGCTCGCAAATGTTTTGCAGTTTTCTTCCGATTCCTGCTCGTGCTTCAACTGGGCCATCTCCAGCTTCCGCTTTTGCTTGCCGTGCATGGCCACTGTGAGCAGAGCGCGTTCATCTTCGGGGTAGGGAGTACGATATGGCTTCATTAATTGTAACAAGAAGTGCGCATTCGGGACTTGACCTCGCCGAAAATGGGTAAAGCTCGGATGGCGTGGCAGCTGCAGAGTCTGGAAGTCCTCCATTATGGCAACTGCAATGAGTGTCCTCATGATAGTCATATCAACCTGGGCATCAAATGACATAGTTGCAAATAAAAACATGAGCCTGAACCTGTCTTGAGTCCTTGATGCTGTCTGACAAAGAGTAAAAAGCGAGCCCCAGTTGGCAGCAAGGTTGACATTGATGAGATCGGCAAAGAGATAGAGCTCAAACTCCGAATCGAAACCTTGAATTAAGGGCCATTCCTGCATGATAGCCGACAGATCTTGGTTTACCCTTACTCGGTGGGACCAATTTTTGATCAGGGACGCGGATTCGTAAGCATTCTTGGAGCCTGAGAACTTCGCGCAGTCTCTTGCTACATAACAGCGGTCTGGTACCGCTGGGAGAGTTTCCTTGTGTTGCAAAGCACGAAATGCATTTCTTCTGGTCTGTGCACGCGCAAGCAGGTGCTCGTCGCCCCCTCGGTCGTCCGCCGGCGGTTTGGCGGATCCGAGATGAAACCGGTGCAGGACGTGACACTGCTGCATGATGTGTCTGGTTATTGGCCGGAACTCATCGTGTTGTACAGCGGACAATAAATTATCTTTCCAAGCGACTTTCTGGAGCACTTTGAGCGTATCGGGATAGTAGACCCTCCGTGGAGTCAAGTCGGCGATTGCAGATAAGAATCCGTACGATGCTTCATCAACAGGAGCCCAGGGCTGAGCGTTGCCGGACTGTAAGCAGTGAATCGCTTCATCTGTTCCCGTTCTCCCAGTAAGTGGATCGGGCAAGACGAAAGCGGTAAGAGCATGGCAATAGGCCTTGAAGTAAATCAAGCGAGGCTCGGATGCACACTCCAAGCGACCCAGTACTTTGTTGATGAGAAAGCGGGCATAGAATCCTGTGTGACTGATGCGAATTCGGACATGAGCTCCGCTTTGCTCGATTGTAGCAGGTCCCATAGCCACAACGACGCTTCGATCTTCCGGAACCATGCTATCGCGTAAGACGAGTTTGCTTTCTATTCCATACAATGTTCCCGCGTCCTGGTCGCCATCGATTACGGCGCGCAATTGCTGAGATTCGAGCAAGCCATCTGAGTTCACTCGAAATGACAATTCAAGGCCGGGCAAATGCAATGAAACGTTGCTTCTTTGCGGTTGAAAGACAGTCATCTTACTCCGATGCTCGAAAGGCTCTATTATGGTAGCTATTCGGTTGAAGATCGAACTACGTGGATCCACGAGCAAGCTGTACCCTCGGTGAGCTTGGCTAGTTCGAAGATCGATAACCCAGTTCCTGGGCTTAGGTCGCCACATCGTTGCTAATGATCTGATTTCTATGCTGTGAGAGGCCAAGTCTAACCAATGAACGCAGCCGTTGATGAGAGGCAAAGGTAGATCAGTTGCATCGCCAGGAATCCTCGATAGGAACACAGTTGGCGGTATCAGCTCCACCATTCTGTTGTTGCCTAATCTTGCCCGCAGAAAGGGCACTCCATCACGAAAGCCAAAGTGAATCTGGTGCCCTTCAAAAGGGCTGGCAAGTTGATAGGACATCCCTGGTATACTCGATGGGTATGTCAGGAAAACACGATCGCCAAACATTCGATGGAAGAACTCTTGTTTGGTGTATTCGTCAGGTAAACGACCAAGGGGTTGACCGTCAACGAGTAAAGTCCCATCGAGTATGTCGAAGAATACACTCTGTTCAAGGAGGTCATCAACACTCATCGACTGGGCGGTTACCCATCCATCATGGGGTTCTGGGAGGAAATCCCACGCAGAAAACACTCGTGTGGATTGTTCTTCGGCATCTGCCCAAAGGCTATTGACGGCCTGATTGACAGCAGTATTTAGCGATTGGATTGCGCGCCGGAGTTGGGACTCGAGACGATGCACAAGTTTCAGGTCGCTGATGTATAATTTTCTGAAAAATGCTGGCATTCTACCGATGAAGCCAGCGTCCTTTGACGGTAAATTGTCCTTGAGCATAAATGAGCATTCGAGGTATATAGTGAGCATTTCAGCCTGGAGGGGTTCGTCGGGCTTCGCGGCTTCAAGGATGTATGTTTTCCGGCAGAGCAAAGCTGCAAGTAAGGCGTCTTGGGATCTCTTTTGTGCAATTTCTGTGCTAGTCGCGTTGCAGATCTCGCGACGCAAAGATCTGGCCCAATGATGAGTTGTTCGGCGCACGTACAGCATCAGAGCTTCGGCTTCCTTCCTAGCCTCAAGAGGTGTAGCAAGAGACCAAATGCGCTGCAATAGGACGAGGAGACATTCGACCGTTTTGCCTTCGCGCCAATTTGCTGCAACATTCTCCAGCCGTCGCTTGATTTGAGCAGTAAGCGCGATACAGAAAGACAGGTCTTCAAAAACCCAGTGACCGGCGCGAAGAAGGCTTTGCTCGTCACGAGGGCCCACTACGAGAGCTAGTTCGGTGACCAGAATACCAACTTCTAATGTGCCGAAATTGAGGTTTGAAGACGCGAGCTCACGCAGGAGCCTAATCCATTGAGTCCGATGACCAAGTCGGAGGTCCTGAAACGTGGTGAATTCGATCATAGTGAGAGAATTTGGGCAACGAGTCTGGCTTGCTATAATCTCGTTGGCAGACAGAGGCTTCCCCTCAAACGTTGGATGGAGATACCTTCTAAGAGATCCGTAGGCTGATTTTGGAGGCAAAGGTGGTGCGCAAAGATCTGCGAAGCTTGGTTTCTCTACATTTCTCGATGTCCAGAGACTTCTTGAGTGATCAAATAAACCATACTTCAATGGATGAGGAAGGCATACTTTATCCAGCGTGATTGGAAACGGGACCTGCGTATAGTGGGTGCTTAAGAAGGATTTGAAGTATGAGGCAAGTGTCATAGAGCTTCCAGTAGGCCTCATGAAGCCCCTGAGACCTCGGTAATCGTGGAGCGAAACCGGAGGCTTTCGATCTGGTGTGGTACTTCGCCGGCCTAATTGGATCAACTGCCAGGTAGCGTCCCGCCACGCCGCGAAAGCTTTGGGAAGAAGGAGTTCGAATACCACAGCTTTGGCCACGGTGTCATCGCTTGGCAAGATGGCTTCATGTACTGAAATCCTCATCGTTTCACCTCTTCTCTCAAGCTGATGCTTTAAGCAGTGGCGATCGTCGTGCCGACGCTTCAGCGGATCGAATCTGTCTTCAATGAACAGACACGTCGTCTCTGCAGCTTGCTTCATGACAGCCTCGTATTCTGAGCTTGTCTCAGCCCATTCCTCCTCTTTTTGTGCTCTAGCTCTCACATCAGCAGCGCGGATGGTTGTAGCGAGCTGTTGCATCTCTTGAGATTGGTCAAAGTAGCGCACAGCAAACGACTCCGGTGATATATCGCGAAAAAGTGAGGGATGAGAGGGTTTAGCAACGCTACGGCGACCCTCGAGATAGTCTTCGATATCTTGAATTCTTCGCAAGTCGGAAAGGAGAGCGACTTGCAAGGGAAAAAGTATATCCCGAGGAAACTCTGGTTCGTAGTCAGCCAGTTGAGGATATATTGTGAGAGCGATCGAGTCTATTGCCTGCCACATCTCCAAGAGCGTGATTAGCATGAAAGACAACTGCTCGGGGTCTGACTTGTATGCTAAGGATGCGAGCTGCTGATATTTTTGCATCATGTGTTGAAACTCCACACAGTAGCGGTCCAGCCCTTTGTTTGTTCCACTTCCAAAGGATTTCTTGACATCAGACTTGAGCGTTGATTCGGCCCCGGCGAGAAAGTGGTATTCAAATTCAGTCAAGTCATCTCGAAGTTCCATACTGGCCCATGCAGAATACTGGGATGACTTCCGGTGTCTCTCCTCGAGATGTATGTTTGTTGACGGTCTGCCTAACAAGGCTTCTTCAAGAATTCTTTGCAAGATAGCTCGGCTGTGATACAGCGATAGTATTGTACTACCCGTGTCAGCGCGCCAGGGCAGGGGTAATACTCGCTTTGTGGCTCGGGATCTGACTACGCTCCAATCCCGACTGAGTCTGTCGTTGAGAGCTCGCAAGGTATCGGTAAATCCTTTTTCGTGTTTTGAGAACAGTGAGTCCATTTTCTTGGCTACTTGTGGTGTCGCCATATCCTTTTGTTGCTGCAATTTGGCCACCCGACGAGCAAGTTTGGTTCTCGCAAAGGCAAATTTGTCTGGCGGGAACGAGCCTTGGGCGCAGACCTCCTCAGAAAGCGAGGAGAGAACGAAGCTCATAAAGAACTTGTAATGCAGAGTACCGTGGCTGCCTCCCAGTAGGGAGCACAACGATCGCTGGACACCAACTCGCAGTACAAGCCAAGTCGGGCTCCGTCGCCATGGATTCTCTGCTCCATCGCCCCAGTAAACCTCATCATGTACTCTCTTTCTGGTCAGCATGGTTGTGTACTTCCGGCCGTTCGCCTCTAGTAGAGCCATCAACAATTGGCCTATCATCGCTGGAGTCGCAGTATCACGGCTCTCAAATGCATAGGATCTGGCCTTGAGCGTCGTTGCTGCGAATTGCTTGACGGGCTCAACACTAGCCTTTTCAAGAAATTCTGCGAGACATGCTTGGAAAGAGGCTTCTTCGAAGATAGCGGACGGAACAGCAACGGCACGGCTTGGGAAGTCCCACTGTAGGGATTTCTCGGCTGCGAGAACCTCCGCGGCTGGGGGGGAAGCCTCAAAAGTCTCGACGACGTAGTCACCAGCGACTTTCCGAATGATCAGTCCAGAGTTCTGCATGCTGACGTGAAGGATTATGATAGCTCCGTCTTTGACATCGCGGAAGGCGCTCGTCAGGGCATTTTTCGAAAGAGATTTGTTGTTTCTGTGCAAGGTTGCGAACGTACGGAGAGTACGAAGAATTGTAGACCACTGCGTGTAGTGTTCAGAGTGGTTCAGGTCACGGAAAAGGTGACAATATTCTGTCAAGTGTTCGATCAAAGCTCTATCACCAGCGCCATTTTGGTGGTCATCGCGATGAGGCAGCTGCGGGGGTAGGAAGATATGGTTAAAAAGGTATTCAAGCGTGCGGTCCGCCATCTTGACGAAGAGGATCGAACCTTGACAACTGTGATATAGGTGTGGTAATGTCAACTTGGTTGTGAGAAGGGAGGTGCTGGATGAGATGTGAGTGGACTCAGGTGTTGACGAAAAGCGCCAAGCCAAGCGGACGCTAGCCTTGCTAGCGCCCTGTCCCTCTCCGTTGTCAACAAAAGGTTCAGTCCCAGCGTCCTGGCTAACTAAACATGAAATATAAAAGTCTCTATGCAACACTAACGGCAATTTCAGGTCACAGGTGTAGAAAGCCCTTTTTTATCCATGGGTAATTGTGGAATCGGCTGCAATTGGGTGCGTTAGTTTCATCAACTTACAAACAAAGTACGCGAATAATTCTTCCACAGCCGTGCTTGTTCCCAAAGTCAGCAATGCTAGCCAGGCTGCCGTGTTACCTGCATATGCAGTCAACCAGATCGGGACGCATTGACGGAGGGCCTCTTTGCCAAGACCTCGCATAATACTTTGGGCAACGTACCATCACATTGTAGGTAGTTGGCACTTGGAGAGATAATTGACCGTCGTTGCAACAGGGGTCATGAGCCTTATCCCAGTAAAATCCTGTCATGTTTCAAGGCCCAAGTACCAGTGCTGGGCGGCGAAATGGAGGGTCATGACCCAGAACGAGTACATGCTCGGCTCACAGTAATCGGGAACTGCTATTGCGAGCATCAGCCGGAATCAATGGTAGATTCGCGAGGGAAGCAAGCTGCAGTCACGTATCAACTCAGCTGATAACGGTCAACCCTTCTAATCACCATTACTGTTCGGCCCTGCAACGCTAAAGCTCACAGTACAACCGTCTCCATCCCTTCCTTGTTCCGATTTATACCGGTCCTTTAAATCCTACCATCCCTCCCGACCGCTATTTGCAGTGAAAGTAACAATGTTAAACCTAGATTGCTATGTCAAGGCAACATTTCCCTTACCACTCACTATTCCATGATTAGCTTGGCGTATTCGTAGCGCTTGCTATCCCCATCACCATTTTTTGGAGGCTCATCGCCTCACATCAGTGGCAAAAGTAGTCACTGCGAAGCATTCAGTATCTCGAAACAATTCGCAATACGAGGATGCAAATATCAACGAGAGCAACTATTGTATTTTACCACACTTGTATACTTCCCCATGGCAACGTATTGTACAATTTCCAGCGGCATGAACTAATTTCAAGCATCATTCTACAGAAATTTATAGGTCCCATTTTGCTTCGGAGTGCTTGTGAGATTCTTGGGGAGGTATTGGATTCCAGTCATTGGGCAGCTGGAGGAATTCGTGTCTGCAAGCGTCAGTCATGCATCAGAGACGAGCACGCCCCAAAAAACCCTTACCTGGCTGTGCCGGAATATAGGTGCCATCTTGCGCGCTTCCGTACACGTTGTAGTAGTAGTATACCTCATCAAGCTCAGTCGAATTGGCACCAGTGCACTCGATAGTAGCGTTGACGTGGCGATCCTGCACTAACGCTTTCCGGATTTCGGAATAGGTGTACGTCTTCGTAGTGCTCGGTACGATCCCTGCATCCTTGAGGAACGTGTATGTGTCCAGCACCGAGAACAGCTGGAGTGTCTTTTGGAAGAAATCGACCACCTCTTGTGTAGGCACGTAGTCGGTGTAGCAGGACGTATCGAAGGTGCTGATGCACGTTCCATGCTTGCCCCATTCATGTTCCCAAAACGACTCGTCGTTGCCCCCGTCATCCTTCCAGTATACTGACATGTAGTCCAGCAGATCGTAGCGATTGAAGTGTTCGAGGATCTGCGTGATGTTCTTGTATTGTCGAGATTCATCGCAGTATTGTTGGTAGGAACCATTACATTCGTCGGGCCTAGGACACGCCATCTATTAGTATGGACGTGGAGGCCGGGATGTGAGGTGACCACTTACCATAAGCCGTGGACGGTCCAGTGGTCTGCCGGACCTGTAGCAGGATCGGTGTCCCAGAACTGCGTCTGCAGCAGAAGACCACCGGGGTAGTTGAAGCAGCAGGTGTTGGCGACAGCGCTTTTGTTGTGGCAACTCAAGGGGTACTCGAAGGTGCTGCATTGCTCCGAGAAGGCGAGAGCTGGGCTCGACAGGAGAAGCGCCCCGAGGGCCGAAGAGAGGATTGAGGTATAGGAAGGCATTGCTGCGGGTAATATCGGATAAGATGAAGATGTAACTGAAGGATATCGAAGGATGAGGATATGCAAGGCTCTTCATATAGACATCTTGATCGCTCTATAAGGTATGGCGGGAGGTACATGTGCTCCGAGGACAGGATCTGGGCCATGCTCGCCTAGGCAGCTTTACAGGATGGAGCTTCCCCATGCAAAGTCATGATAGCACTCATCATGTCTAAGTGGGGCTGAGATACTGGTGATCAGGTCCGAGGCATTCTCTTCTTATTCTCCTGTTATCCAATCGATTCGAACGTGCCTGACAGAGGCATACCTCCGTACCTGAGACGTCATCAGGCGTCGTCCTATCAGCGTATCGAGGACGCGAGGCTGTGAGCACCTGTGGCAACCGAGTGAATACACCTGCCTGTTGAGGAACAAAAGAAGCGAAACGCCACTGGTGCCATCTGGGATGTAGGAAAGCCGCCGAGCCCGCCCATGGAGCGTGATTGAAAATGCGCGTTATCTCGGAATAAACCAGGATGACCTTGGCGATGAACAGACCCGAACCTGTACGCGGGTTATAAAAAAGCCTATATACGCCAAGAAATGCTCTTATTTTACTCTTTGAAAAAACTCTATTAATACTATCTTTACGAAAATTGTTTTGCAGTGTGACTTACTGTTTCTGATGTAATCTTTGACATACATAGCGAAAGCCTTTTGTTATGACCACTCGTTGACAAGTTGTGGTAGATTTGTAGATTTTGGGGTTTGCAGGCTTTTTTGGAACCCGCGTGCCTGCTCAAAGCTCCACTGCGCAAAGATAGAAAATGAAAAGATAGAGAACGAACGCAATCAACTACGCGTTGCACGAGTTGGCAAGTGTTCTGTTTCCCTGCTCAGTGGTGCTTGCCGCTGTGGATGGCTCTTGTCTTTTCGTAGGCACCTGTAAGGTGTGATTGAGCGGACATGTGATGTTGATGAAGAGCAACAGCACGGGACAAAGGATACCGGATCATTTGTTCCATCGTGGCAGATGGGTAGTGAAAAGGTTACTGCTACGGTGGATGCATGAGAGTTTGGTAGGTGGTAGTCTCGAATACTTCGGCCGCCTACCGATCTGCGCGAAGAAGTACTGAGCTTCACGTCTCGGGAGCTTAGTAGACTGTTGGTTAAAGCAACAAAGTGTATTAGAATTATTTACAGACAGCTTTTGTTAAGAAAGGCGTGTGATGAGACAAGCCATGTACCCAGGATCAAACACTTCAGTTCACCTCGATGAGACCTGGTCCGTACAGGGTGGCCGCAGCAACAGCGTCATTGCTCGCAAAGGTCATGCCCGCCCCCTTGACCAAAGCGGCAATGGTCAGCCCATTCGCAAAACCTGAAGCGAACGGGAAGCTAGCGGAGAAATGGGAGATTCCGGCAACATAGCTCATGTTCGAGATTGGAACGGTCACTGGCAGATTCGCCCCGGAGAGGTAGGCTATCGAGTTGTTGTACGAGCTGACGGCTCCGGGCACGGCGAACTCCAGGGTCATGTTCTTTGGCTCGGGCGTGGTGACGACGGTCAGTGGGCCGAATGTGGTCAGGTTGACATTGGAAAGCGGTTGAGGACACGAGCCCGGAACGATGAACATCTGAATCGCAGTGAAGGCGAAGCTGGGCGATCCACCCGTCAAGAATGGCGCGGCTGACGGCACCTTCTTCTGGGCGAAACGATAGAAGCCCACCTGCTCGCCTTCCTGGGCGAGAACGGAGCCGAAGAGTGGGACCAGTGGGCTCTCGTCACCGGCGTCGGCGGCGAAGATGGCTTGCGCCTCGGGTAGCGTTCCGAGGACGATGTCGGTGAAGGTTTGGGCGAGGAGGACGGCCTGGGCGAAAGTGGTAACGGGGAATTGGTATTGACAGGGCTTGATGGCGGTTTGGTTGGCGTTCATCAAAATGCCATTTACGCCGGCGGCATGCAATTGCTCTTGCTACAATTGCTGGTTCAGAAAATGCAAAAGGCGCAGTCAATGCTTTTAAGGCTAGGTGTCTGTTACTCACATTTACCACAGCGGTGAGGGTGTCCATGACATATGTCTTGTCTAATGGTGCAATGGATGCGGCATCGTATCCAGGGACACTGTTGGTGACATTGGCGAGCAGCTCGGTGAAATAGGCAACTTCGAATATCTCATTCAGTGCGAGGAGTTGCAAAGTGGTGATTCCGGCGCCTTTTAAGATGGTTGGGAGCGGACCGTCGGGAAGTGTGCCCCCAGCTTTCTTCTCAATCATAGCGAGCTGGGCAGGGTTGGGACTGGGGAAACCATCTGGTAGTGGGAATTTGAATGGAGTGGCGGCGACACCGGCGACTGCGATGGAGAGAACTAAGGGTATTGTTGAGGTAAAATGCATGATGACGATGGGTATCAGCAAGCAGAGAGGGTAGATACTTGAGATAGATATATCGGAGACGGGGAGAAATGGGATGTGAAGTGAGAGTAGAGTACGGAGGGTTAGATTTGTTAAATGGGAAAGAGTAAGAGTAAGAGATGGGAAGAGATAGTGGGAGGCTGGAAATATCTCGGGCAATGACGATAGATGATGATGTCAGAGCTGATGCAGGAAAAGGATGATGGATGATGGATGATTCCTATGGGCCATGATCAGCTTACGTGACTTTGGATTGATTATTCAACCATGGGTTTGGACGCATCAAAAAATGAATAATTCACGCAAACCCTCCATCCATCAAATAAACATTGACCCGCCCCGCCCTTTTCTTCGCTTTACACTTTGACATTAAACCCAAAGTGTGCAGACTAAAACCTGACAGGGCGACGGTTAACTGAAAGTGAATGTCCGCGGAGGTACGGAGCGAGTAAATCCCGTTCTTTTCATCACGTGTCACTCATTTCAGGCTAGACATCTGCGCATCCGATTAATTGGCGTGAGACGATATGTCGATCATGTCTGATCTCGGACTGATGTTGATCGGAACAAGGGAAGCCCCGCTGACCTACTGTCGGACTCTACCTTATGGCCGTCTTAAGGGACGCTTTGAGTAAATCCTCCAAAGCTAATGCACGTTACTGCTCGACCGGTTTATATGAGATTTCAAATGAGCCTTCATCGGACTGGCGGATTAGGGTGGTCCAAGGATGATCAGATGTCAAAGATGCCTCTGGTCGGTATCAAAGTAATGGGCAGTTGACGAGAGTGGTGCGCTTAAAGGTCAAGGGGGGGTGTGCGAGTACGCGAAGCTGTTCCCTGTCGGATCCCTTCGGAAATCAAAAATTGCCCTCTCTCGAGTGGTCGAGCTGTCATCAGCATTGCTGCCTGAAGTCTGCGAACAATGTACACGCAGCAGCCGTCAGCAACAACATCCTCTATCATCCTAGGCAACTCCGCTCGATGAATTACCTAACCAGCGAGCAGAGGCTCATATCATTTCGAAACTGTCTGTCGCATCAGTCTCCCGCTTGTGTGCAACAAAGTAAAACATAATAGAAACCAGGTACGCCCACGGAAACCGCAAGCAAGACTTTTTGTCCGAGTCTACTCTATCCGTGCTCGACTACGGAGGTCGGCACCAAAAGTCCTGGACAGCGCTAAAATATTTGGCACTCTTAGTATTCTTAGCACTTCTATATAGTTATATTTATTTAACGATAATATTTTTATATAATTGCGTATATACTTATTAGCTCGCTCGGCGGAGTTATATAATCGTATATTATCTCTCTTACGACTTTTTCTATACTCGTTATTATCTTTAAAATATATTATCTTTATAATATATCTCGATATTCGCTTTATTTACTTTTAAATCCTCTTTTAAATAAGCTCGTAATTTTAATAATATAGCTATCGTCTTTCGACTTTCTTATAAGTTCTTAATATATCTTTTTAAGTAGTATAACGTTTTATTTATAGCTAATAAGACTTAATTATATTAAGATTCGAAAAGTTATTATATTAGATTATTCTAACGATATTAAATAATATAAATATCGCTTCTTAATACTTTAATGCGTATATTAAGACTTTATCTTCTATAATTATTATATTAAGTCTTTCTTATTTATACTTCTAAGCGAATTTTAAAAAGCTTTAAAATAAGAATTTATATCTAATAAGAAGAAGAAATATAAGAAATATAGACATATATATCTTTTTTTTAATAGCGATATTAATTAATTCCCTTCTTTTTATCCTTAATAGTAACTTTCTTAATCTTAATAGTAAAGTTTTATATAAGCTTCTTATTAGAAGAATTTCGAAGACCTATATATCTTATATTAATTTTAAATTTCTAAGCTTATTTAGCGTTAGATTCTAGAGTAATATTAATTTTAGCGAGATTCTCGATATACTTCTTCTTTTTAATAGCGATCTCGACTTTCTAGATATAATAAGAACCCTTTTTATTATAAAAAAAATATTTCTAAAATATAAACTCTATAGTATCTATAAAACGACGTTATATATTAGATTTAACGAAGATCTCGTTAGATTAACGCTATATACGCACTCTTCCCTATCGAGAATTTAAGATTATACTAATCTTATTACTTTAAATTACTCTTTTTCAGTCTTTTATAATCTAGTTCTTATATTATAAAGCGAATTAATAATATGCTTTTATTATAGCTTCTATAAGAGACGATTTTTTAATAATTTTATAAACTCGAAAATTATTACGTCTAAGTACTCGTAGTATTATTATAAATAAGATCTCTTATTTAGTAGTAAGTATAAAAGAAGTCTTTTTATAATTATAGCGGTTTTTTTATATAATATCTAGAATTATATTTTTAAGTGCAAATATAATAATTAGAAGATATTCGAATCTAGACTTATCTATAACGTATAATATTTAGAGTTTTTTAGATATAGTAAGATCGTATCCTCTATTACGAGCTTATTTCTAAAATCAATTAATAATTTAATAAGATATTTCGATAATTATAGTAATAATTTTAATAGTAATCTTAGTCTTAGCTAAAGTTAGTACTTGAATTTAAGTCTTATTATTATAATTAATACTCTAAATATTAGATATATTAATAAAAGATAATTAAGATAGAGAATAATAAGAAGATTTCTATCTATTATATTATATAAATAAGACTTATATATTAAAAGTCTTTATACTCTCCCCCTATTCCCCTGCGCTATAACCAGTGCTTTGACACTATCGCTATTATATATTTTATTAATATCGCTATTATATATATACTTCGTATATATATACTTTATATATATACACTTCATATATATATATAGCGTCGCTATTATATAAAGCACTAATACTTATTAAAATAAAGAATAATAATGCTATTTATAAAATTTGGAAGCATGCTAAGCACTTAGCCTTACCTGGACCCTTGTCTTAGCATATCTAGGACTTTTGGTGCCGACCTCCGTAACTATAGATTCTCTAGCCAAACCTATGAGCGCAACCTGGACCATTGAAAAATTATCCGACTCCGATATTCCGCCTCAGTGCATCGTGACTTATTACCCCCGAGCCCTCTGCTTATTGCGACGGGCGCTTCTTGTAGTAGCGTCACGGATGCTCGGTACGCAATACCGTTCTGCCAATCAGAATCGAAGCGTGTTAGGACGTACCTAGCCGCCATAAGCACCCTCTCGGCGTACTTCGGCATCACATCCGGGAAGAATGCTGACACGGTGGGTATCTAACTGTGACCTGCTCTTCGGTCTGTTCTCCAGAGAGCAAAGTCTTTGCTTACGCGTAGACGCGGCTTCGTGGCGAAAGACGGTTTATGTGATACTTTCCAACAGCCTACCATCTTTCGTCGCAGGCGCAATACGCTCCAGTCGATCTTTTTCCCGAAAGGATACCGCTAGACTTGGTCCTGTTATAACTAGATGGCGCAACTCGATTCTCGATGTCCCTCCTTCTCAAAAGTACTTGGCCGTCGATTGGGCAATAAGTGTGGCGCAGTACTTGATTCTGCAGGTACTATAGGTGTTGCCTTGAATATTGAGATTTGACATCTGGAGAAGGACGGTAATCACTCGACTGTTTCGGGTTGTAAGATACGAGGTGCGCTTTCCTATACGATAGTTGAATCATTCTGACTCTGTGATTGTTGTCGTGATATCGCGTGCGAATGATCCTGACAGATCGGCAGAATGCAGTATTCGTCCCCTCAGCCAATCATCTAGCCCCCACTCCCCCGATCCAGGTGACCAAAGAAAGACTCTATGATCTAAGCCTTCGACGCGGTAACAAAGTGCTTCCACGATCGATCACGACAGATTCGTTTATAAAAAGAACTGGCCCCTGCAGAGTCATAGGCCAACCCACCAATCCACGTGTGCAGAGGCTGTACAAGGCAGGTATCAGTACGTGTTATCAGTCGAGCCCACCAAGTCTCAACAATGACCTCCACGGCCCTCGCGCATTACAACGAATTCGCATCTTATAAGTAAACCCGCCCACTTGTATCTTCCCAGCCGTCGTAGCGCATCCAGACCTAAGCCCTACTCTATAGCACTCGAGAGTCTAGGTCGACAGTCACCCTTGAGCCTTGATTCCAGGACTTCCGTGGTCTTTGCGAGGTAGCAAGGGTAGACTAGAATGATTTCGGCCTCTCTGGCATTGTACTCGGCGACGAGGTTTGAGTGTAATTATGTCGACGCGTCTGGTGCCTTAGCCGTAGGACCCTGTACATGTGAAGGGATTCGGCTTGGATCTTGGTTCGGGGTAGCAGATGCTGGGATCTGTGCATCTCGTCGGCGCCTATCCCATCGATTGGCAGGGGCGCAAAATTCAGGGGGTCAGCCCTGCGTGCCAAGACATTTCAAGCCCCATGCGCCAATCGATGGGATAATACTGTTGTACAAGTCCAAGTACTTGGAGGGTAGATGGTCATGATTCTCTCAGACATCGAGTCAACAGCCAGAGGGCACAGGTTGCACATTGTTGCAGCGCAACGACTTTGACTGCACATGAACACGCTGCCTCCTAAAAGAACCACGGGCGATGCATACACGGCTCCTACCCCATCATGCCTCCCCAGACCAGCCCGGCGCTGTTCATGTATGCTACGATGTTCCGCAACACCAGCATGTTCAATCCTCCGTCGAAGCACCTCCGATTCCGGACCCCTCTCCTCGTGGAATCCCCACCAGGGGAGATATCATTGGGACCTCGGCTCCCTCTCGCAGGCTTTCGAAGCGCTCGCGGCGTAGTATCGTAGTTTGAAGGACGGCGCGAGTTACGATTCGCGGGTATAGTGCACGCTGCTCTTCACTGTGTATACGGTCTGTTTAGCCCCTTGGCGTGAAGTTGGATCTATGGCGATCTCGTTTGCGGTGTATGCTGGCTAGGGATGGTTAAGTAGCGCTTTGATGGCTACATCAGACTTGATGGGCTTCGGGATGAGGCGCAGTGCTTACAAGGTGGAGGCTTGAGTGCAAGGGCGGCTAGGCTCGTGAGCTGGAGACGAAAGAGCCATGGTCGGGTTGTTTTCGCTGTGCTGTCATGTCGTGGTTTGAACTCTCCTCCCTATGGTTGCGTACTCATCACCCTGCTATAAAGATTGGAGGATGTACCTCCCGACGATACTACGGTGCCCTTGTCGTTCCATTGAGTTTGGGAATTCTAGAATTCAGTGTGGTATCTCTCTGCTCGAACTCAGTTCATGGTTGACGCACATGCAAGACTTTTGACACTGGCTATTTTGTGGAATGGAGATAGTAGGAGCCGCATGAGTAGTTGGTGATAAGCTTGTTGTTCTTTGTGACATACCACCCAACAGCTCGGCAACGCGAAAAATGTATGTTTCACGGCGGACAAATGAGCCGAGATGAATAGATGCAATGGCGGTATTGAACGATATATGTCTGCATAGTGAGATAGAAGGTCAAAGTCAAATCACAAAAGCATTTCCAAAAGAAACCAAATGGTCATTGCTTCTCTTGTAGCCAGAGCATTCCAATATTTTCGTGCCGATTACAAAAGCAATCCGTCTAATGAAACATGAAACCCGTAATCATTTGTCGTCAGAGTCCCAGCTGCAAGGCATTGTTGACGTTCCAGCGGACACGGCCTTTACCTTGTTGACACCACCCACCCAGATTTCAGTCACATGAATCCTGCAGCCATTAACGTGGTCACCGTATTCAAAAACGAGACGCGCTTCTCCCCGAGTGCGACAGATTATTCCTCCCGGATGCAATTCTTCTTCTCGCCGGCCATACGCGACAATATCAAGCCCAGCTTCGAGAAGAACCTCCATCCAGGCATCCAGCCAGCGTTGCGCTACTTCCAGTATCGAGAGGCTCTCCCCAGGATACCATGTTTCCCACAGCGATCTCGATGTGCGTGGTCGATACTTGATATCCGAAGTATCCTCGAGTCGATCGTATTCAACGACGTCTTCAGTAGACATCAGCGAGGGCGATGGAATCCATTGTCGGTCTACTCCATACTTGTTGTACTCGGTTCTGCCGGCTGATAAAACAGTGTAGGCGATAGCCCAGCAAAGGCCTTCAAGCGCTGTTTTGTTGAGGTACCAGTGATCAAGCGTATGGAAGTCAGCGCCAGCGTCCCAAAGGACCTTGACACGATTGGGAAGATCGACATTGTCAGCGATGCCTGGAAGATGAAGAACAAGTTCCAAAACTACGTCACCGAGAGAATATGGCGCGACTAGGTCGTTCAAACCGCTCCCATATGCAATCACCGCTTCTAGATGTTTCGATGCATTTGACTCAAATGATGCGGATAGAGCAGCAGCGACATTCCCCCTTCCATATTGTTTTTGCTTGAGATCAATCATAAACACGTCCTGATCGAGAAGCCATCGATAGACCGTAGGTGACCCATTGAAAGAGTGCATCACAGTGGTGCCGTGGGCTTCTTCCATGGGATCATACTGCCCTTCATTGATCATGATCCTTAGAGTATCAAGATGAGCCGCAGAGTCCAATGTCGTCAAATCCTGACTCCAGTCTCCTATCAAAGAGAGTATGGGATGCCTTCAGTACAGTAAGTTACACCAAAGTCAACATGTGCTTTTATAATGAGGCCTACTTTGAAATACCAGACGCACTACTGCGCCCTAGACCACATTCGATTAGGAATTTACACAGTTGCGTATGGCAATTAGCGATGGCGAACTGGAAACGCGATAGCTCGTCAGTGACGATTTCTATGATGGCAAGGTTGCAAAACTAACGTGTAAAAGACTCCAGTCTCCGAAAAAACCTCTATCCACTCGATCAAACGGTGATGCCATCCCTTTGTCAAACATTCTTTGAACATTTGCAAGATCTCCTTCAACACAGAAGTCCACGATGAGTGAGTCCTCCGGGATATACCGGAACGTGCGGAAACTGTACTGCCAGCTGCCGTAATTGCCGAAGGATTGCCATGAGAAACCGCGAGATAATAGCCACTGTGCTAGGCGAAGATCATAGCGAATCCTCCTTGAGGGTATCTTTCGCTCATTTCCAGACTCTTCGACAAAAGTAGATTCTTGTTCCGTGGCCACGAGTCGTAGCATGGCAAGTCCAAAGTTGTAAGTTCTCTCTTGCTGCTTCGTGCGATGCTTCGGCCGACGAGGAGCTTGGGGCGATGCCGTTGGACTGAAAGACACCAGTTCAACCAACGATTCTGGTATTGGTTGTAGCGGCCGAGTCTCAATTACTCCATCCTCGTTTGCAGAAGCTGTAGTTGTTATGTTAAGAGATTGCTCAATGTCTGTGGTTTGCAGTGCGGGATCTTCAGGCCGTAAGCTCAGTGACAGGGACTTGAAGCCTGCCTCTTGCATGTCTCTGTCAAGAATTAGTCTTGCTGTTTTAAGTCACGTTCATTTGGGAGCTTTACTTACGCTACGTAGCAAGTCTGTACGATGATGAGAAGCGACTTCATCCGTTCGATTTGTGCCATAACCTTTTCCCTCTTGTCCTTTCGAAAGACGAACTTCACTGATGCCCATCGCCTGGCCAAGGATCCCCTGGAGTAACCGCTCTCCACATCCTTGACCACCTCATTCATATCGTGGACCGTTGCCAGACATAGTTTCAGCGTATCGGTTGCGGCAACTTCGTTAGGACTTCTATGATTAAGACCCTGCCGCTGATAATTGTTTGCGATTATGGCAAGCCAGGCCAGGAAAAGGTTTATCTCTGTAGAGACGTGTGCAATGTCATCCGGAGCTTCTTTCACAGATTGCCAGAACTCATGGACTTTTTTGAGTTCTTCGCAGACTTGGATTGCAAGTGATGCTACCGTGATGACACTGGCAGCGCCGCCTAGTGCCTCCATGGTGTCACAAGCTTGACTGAAATCACTTGTGCAGTTGCAAGGACCTGATCTGACGTTAAAAAGTATGACGAGGCTGAGCAAGGCTGAGGATTGAGGCTGTGTGGGTCCCATGCATGGCGTGCATTAGCACGTCTTCGTCAAGTGACCGACAAAGGAGAGAATCTGGTGACAACCGAAGTCCTCCTTATGGCAGACCGGTCTGTAAGAAATCCATCGTCGACTTTATCATCCAATAGAGATGCTAGAATAATATTTAGTACGTCGTTTCCTAGGTGTCACGCTTATGAGGCAGCGACGAGGGTGATAGGTTGGCAAACCGGAAACCACGCTAGTTCTTATAGGGCTAATCAAAGGCTACAGCAAAGTGCCATTAGCAATTCGTACTTATACCAAAATATTAGAAACATCGTAATATCATTATACCAGTGCCAATAGGAATCGAACCAATTACGAACTAGATACCCCTCACCTGTATAGCTACGCCCTACAGTTGAGTGGGGTTATCTAGCCAACACGAGACTACTGGGTCTAGGCCATGAGTAGATATCGAGGCCACTCACCTGCCTTACATAGACCAGTCATCCTTCTACCTATTGACTGCACCTCATTGGTTCCTGTTATTTCTCCCATACGCAATAAATACACCTATATCAAGTCCACCGTTTGACCTATCGTTGTGCCTCTGTGCTTCGTGCTATAACGTGCAGCCCAGTCGCACCAAATGCACGATTCTTTGCCATTGCCGCTTTAGTACTATCCCCACCTCGAAATGGGCCATCCATTGGGACCAGTCGTCTTCCACCCCGCAGGCTCACAGTCTTCGGCACCGCCTCGCAACCTGGCATGCTGTTGCCAACCCCTACGAATAAAGCATAGTCGTAGGCTGCTCCGATTTTGCTTTCGAATCATGCGAGCTGCATGGGAAATTTGGTTCTAGTTAGAGCTTGATCGTCTCCTAGAACCTGTCAGCAAGCTTGATAGGTCCGCCTGAAGGTGTCAAAGAGGTCAAGGATAGATTCGTGCAACTGAGGGTGATGGTCTGGACGTACAAGTTATGACTGGCGTTCACGGTGAGTCGATTGATTGTCCAAGCAAAGTTCATAAGTCTTTGTGGTCTGGACTTTCATGTCGTCTCATTATTGTTGCTTCGGCCGAGATCTTTCAGCATCCCGTTCTTCCCGCTCCTCGCGCTCCATATCTCTCCGATGTGATTTCCCTTGAGCGAGATCTTCTAACTTGCGACTTTTACCGTGGATATCGCTGGTCTCCGGGGTCAAGTACTGAGATAGAGTTGCACCGACGAGCATTACGAGCACGAATCTGTTATAACGTTAAGAATGGTGGGAGACCGGAGGTGATAATCTTACAATATTAGGGTTATTCCTAGCCGTTTATTACTTTGAACTTTGATCACAACAATCTGGCCGAGCACGGAGCCAAGCTTGCCGCTGGCGGCGGAGATGCCGTAGAGGGTGCAGCGGTAGCGGGTTGGGAATGCTTCGGCTGGGATCTAGGCACGTTGTCAATAAGATTCAACAGGTTTTCCAATCTTGCTGGCGCTTACGATGAAAGTGGTGGTGTTCGGACCTGGGGTTTAGTGTTAGCAAGTCCCTGCATTTCATTAAGCTGATGAGCGGATAAGACTTACCGAGATTGTAGAACAGCTGACATATACCATAAAACACCACAATTGCCACATGCGCGTTCGTACTCGGCAGCGTGACGTACAACGCCCCAACCAAGATGAACAATCCCCCCAATATCAAGAAGCCCCACATCTGGATCCTCTTCCGACTAAAGAGATGCATCGCAAAAATGGCCATAGCGCTACCAACCAAAGCTCCAATGGAAGTCGATTCCATGATATGTCTCTCGTTGTTGACCAGCCAGTTGTATGGCGGTAATTGGTCTCCAGGTTTCTGCCCAAACATTCTCGGAATAAAACTTGAGCTGTTGACGCCGAGAAGGTAAAACGTGAAATCTAGAAGCATCCAATTTACGGCTGTGGCGAATAGGTCGGTCCAGTTGCCGTCTGTGAAAAGGTACTTGTATAAGTCGGCGCGTGATGCCTGAGATGGGTGGGGGTCTTCGAGCTCTTCGACTGTTGGCCCAATGGAATTAGCGGCTGAATCGTCGGATAGCCCTTGTCCATGCAACCTAGATTGAAGGGCGGGTTGAGGCAGTTGGAGCTCAGTAGCGATATGATGTCCGTTCGTGGCAGCCTTAGGGCTATGTTCAAATTCATCCATGTGTACTGAGTCTCGATCATCATGCCCAAGATCTTCACGGGACCCAAAATAATCCTTCGCGTGCATAGCTTCATTACTGTCGTTCTTGATATCGAGTATATAATACACGGACTCCGGAATCGTAAGTCGGAATACCATGGCGACGGCTGCTGGCACAGCGCCGAGGCCTGCAACTAGTCTCCATGCTCTATCAACCGTCCGTGCGCATTCTATACCGGCGGCATCTTTCGTGAAGACGGAGCAAGCCATATCGGGGGGTACTGAAGTGGGAATCGAGGAGACGTAAGAACTAAAGCCAGCGGTTGCGGCAAAGGCCATTAGGACGGCGATTAATTGGCCCAGGGGCTGGAAGAAGAAAACGGCGGCCAGCATGCGGGCTCGGTATTTTGTGGGGGCGAACCTGAAGATGATCAGCGATACTTAGATGTGACGTTTTGGAAGGACATACTCTGCAGTGATGACAGCACTGAGAGGGTAATCGGCCCTGGAAAGATTCGAATCAGTTCTTGTCTTTCAGCTACAGCCTGGAATCAACCCTTTCTTACCCAATCCCAATCCCCATGATCAGCCTCCAAAAGATGAGCAAGGCAATGAGTGACATGGATCCGTTTACTCCCGTTGAGGCAGTCGCAAATCCCAAGGAAGCCGCAATGGTGACAATGAGCTCCAACCCATACATCTTCCTTCGGCCGTAGCGATCCGCCAAGAATCCAAAGACGATCTGTCCGATCATGGAACCTAGGAGGGTGGCAGTGTTCATGCCGAGTTGATAGCTGGTGGGGATGCTGCCTTCCCAGTAGATGATGGAGAGCATTGGTATGATGGTGTTGATGGAGAAGATCTAGCGCACCAAGGCACTGTTAGACAGGGTCTCGAAGAAGGCTACGATGACATACGTCGTAGGCATCAGTCAAGAAGCCAATGCCTGCGACAAACACAATCCACCATCCGAAGCCTGCTGCCTCGACTGATGAGAGGACCAAATTTCGTCTTTCCTGCCATGTCTACAGTAATCGTCAGCTTCATCTCATATCGGAAATGCTCGTCCGTCATACTAGATTGTAATTGAAGCCTCGTGAATGATCAACCCAGAACCGTGGCCATGAGATGGCCATGATCTGAATGTTGCTATATTTAGGATAGGTTTTAGCGCGTGGGGAGAAATGTCTTGAGATCTTCAGATTCAGCAAGCGTGGGTGATCTTTTATTTACTCGTATTGACATATAAGAAAGCATGGCAAGACCTAAGCGCAGGAATCATGGAAGCAGGAAGATATACAATACCTATATTTAAAAAAGATTCCTCCGCAGCCTTGCAGATTCGCAGAGGGGCTGAGCTCGAGCCACGCCCCTTTTTATCGGTTTCGATGTGGAGAAAGCTCCTACGAATTGGACCCGTATATTGTAGGGCTATCAATCGTGGAACACGTGTTGGCCGCGCAAACGACTATTCGCTCCGGAGCCTGCCGCTCGAACTCTCCGAGTCTCCGCGACCAGCACATCTTTCTCTTGGCGATCCCACTCAGCCTCATCCTCGATGCCTCACACTCGACAGCGCAGTCTCGACCTCAGTCTTCTTCAATCTGACATCGCATAGCCATGACTTCAACGAACCTCACATGCTCACATGGAGGGAGGCTCAGGCTCTCAGACTGACCTTGATTCTGATCCGTCATGCTGCTGCCTCGTTCGTTGTTGATGCACTCACCTCACGTCTGCCCGTCCCTCCATTCTGAGTCCATCAGCAAAGATGGTCCTCCCGGGCTGGAACATCTCCGAGCCCATCGACCTTGCATACAAATTATATGAAGTCGTCGAATCTCTTCGAAGCGCACCCGAAAGCGCCAAAGCTTTCGTCTCCAAGATCAATAACTTCAGTGGCAACCTGAAGGAATTGCAAAGAATACTTGAAGACGACACCACGTCCCGTTCTTCTCAAGACCTCGAGCATTTGCGCGCCACTATTGTGGAATGCCAAGCCTGCGTTAAGCGTTGTGAGGAGTACAGTGAAGGGTTTGGAAAGCTCACCAAGGATGGAAGGGGAAAAATGGACGGTGCGGGCCAAGCGGCACGCTGGGCTTTGCAAGAGAAGAGGGCGGCGAAGTTGAGGGAGGAGATTGATGGGCAGATAGGTAATATTGGGTTGACGCTTGCGATTAAGACTTTGTGCGTTGGCTCGGCATCAATACGTTTGACAAACCAGGGCTGACAAACGGCAGTGGAGACGGTCGGACAAGACAAGGCTCCCATTTAGGGACGGAAGGTCTGAAGCCTCCTCTTCGATCCGGTACCATTGCCAGCTTACCCCCATACTCCTCCCCACGGTCCAATTGGACCCAAACAGAAAGTCTTCAGCACGCAAAGACTCCGGCGGAGCTTCTAGGCCTCGGCACCCAGCACAAGAGGAAGACTTCAGACACAGACATACCTAACTTCCAATTAGAGTCAGAGGGTAGCGGCGGCAAAGGGATGATTACCTCACTACAAACCAACTTGGCTACACTGCATCCGTTGACAGAGCCGAATGAGCGATCTGAGCTGGATTCAAAAGAGGCACTGAAGCCGTTGGGGAGCCGCCGGAATACAACCAATGAGGTTGCTGTGTCTCCGACTGGGCTCGGCATGTCTAGTACTTTGTCAGAAGGCTCGAGCGTGGCTTCTCGAGACTTTACAAGCCCAACGATCTCTTCCCGAAGAACCTCCATGACAGAAGTCACGACCAGCACCTCGAGACGTGACTCCATCTTGGCC